TTTTATTCTTGTTTTCCTAACTGTTTAATACATCTTTTACTTTATGCAGCTATTTCATTTGATAATTAGACCACAGAAAAACGAGGATGTTAGAGCACCAAAATTTTATTTATATGCATGCATCGAAATCTAGCATCAAAGGAAAATTAGGCTAGCTAAATGTTGCACAACGCACGGTATCATACAATCAACCATTATAATAGATCTTTTTCTCTTTAAAACTTTACTACAGCATCCAAAAATGCATATACATTTTAGTTATCAATAACTCTTTTTTTCCCTTAATTAAACATAATTATTTTATAACTAAGCGAAAGTATTTCCCTAAACTGTATAAAAGGTATCGTATCCTATTAATGTAAGCATAATAATTTATTTTTAGATAGCGTGATTTTATACTTGAGAGTACCTGTTACTTTCAGTTATCATATTGTTGTTATATAGCGTATCTTTATAATAAATACGTTGATGAGAAAAAGAGAGGGGAAAAACAGACACTGCAAAGAAAGTTATGAAATGATAGCTTGCTCCTAATTTTAGGGACGTAGTTATCCAAATATATTCTTTTACGCTGTCAAGAAAATCTTTTGGGCAAACTTTTAAAAAAAGATACTTTTTCAAAAAGGAAAAGGTAACGAACGTAAATAAATGAATGCAATGCAAGTATCAAAGTCATTTAAACAGGAGTCAAAGTCATATTTAAACAAGAGTCAAAGTCATATTTAAAATATGAGGTATTAACCGATTAAATCAGCTATTACTTTTTATCTTTGCACCTTTTCGTTTAACAAAAAGCCTGGAAGTAAAGTAGCGAAATGAAAATACTTAAAATCCAAAACTAGTGCCAAAACTACATATAAATTCAAAAAAAAAAAAAAAAATTCATTATTGATCGTCACACAAACAATGATTTTCAGCACTCCGGATTTATTAAAAGCTGATGGTAAGTTTATTTTAAAAAGCAAGTCTTCAGAGTACAGAATATATGTTTCGCTACTGTTTAAACTTCACTACTTAATTTTCATTAATAGCTAATTAATTTAAGTCCAGATTCCTCTCCCCAGGCGTACGGAAATCATATTTACAGCTACCCCGTGTCATCTGCGAAATGGCACTGTATCTTGGGGGGGGGAAGGTAATTTATACTTCTTGGGCGTGCATAACTAATCAAGAAATTTTCCCTTCCTGCCTTGATTAGTTTTTTTTCCCTTCAGCTTTTTGGGATATTCTTTTGTTATAATTTTTAAATTGAAGTTTTTCACTTTTAAAGCAATGCCCAATAGATGAAGCTTAACAACACTGTACTAAAAAGATAGAAATAAATATAAAAAAAGGAAGAAGAGAGGGAGAGAAACCAAAGGAAAAGAAAAGAGGAGAAAACTTACATTAAAAAATAAACTTTAAAAAAAATCAAAATAGTCACAGCAGTCTGTAAACAACTGTAATTTTCTGTTTCGAAAATTATAGCTCAAACTGTCAAGATCAGTGACAGCCTACAGCCAAGTTTCTCAACAGAATGACAAAAAGTTCACTTGGAAACTATTGAAACATATTTTTTGCAATTCATTGAAATCTTTGATACTTCTCCTACTTGCAGTTTTCACTTTCAGAGAACTGTTTCAGTAGAAATCAAATTTTAATTGGCATAATCCATCAATCATTGTGATTTACATGAAAGACATCTCCTGAGGACAGACCTCACAATTCATTACTTTTACACATGATATGCGGAGATCACTTGTTCTCATTGTAAGGTACGTGTTTACTCCTAAAGAATGAGACCATGGGAAAAAAAAAGATGATTTTGATAAAAATGCAGATGAATGGCTACAGGATTCAATGATTCAATTTTTATATTATCTCCTGTTTTCCGTCCAACCAGATTTTGGTTTTTAATTCATGAAATTCTGCAGTATTATAAATGAATTCTGCGGAAGAAATTCTATGGAAATCATTCCAGAGTATTTTGCTTGAAGATTTTCTAAGTTGTTACACATCTGTATAGCTAGATATGGCCAAATAATGAAAGTAAAATAAACGTTAAAGAGTGCACCGTAGTCATCAGTGCATGAAGAAAATTCAAATATGCTAATAAAATAATCTACAGAGAAAACTGAAATCTACTCTCCACCTGCTAAAATAATCACGTACGCAAATGTGCATAAAATGGCAACAGTAATTATGTCAACATAACGTACGTGCGTGATGAAATTAAAAATAAAAGTAAAAATGATCTTTATTAGTGCTAGATTTGCGAATGACTAAAATTTTTATGTACAGTTATTTACTATGAAATACTATGAAATAATGAATAATACTATGAAATAATGAATTATACTATGAAATAATGAATAATTTAAAGCATAAACAAAAATTATAAATGTAAATAATTTATTAATTAAAAATAAACATAAAAAATTATTCAAAATGATTTCATTATCAATTAAATTAAGAATAACCGATATGTGTAAAAAACATCATCAAAGATGTCACAAACTGGGCCAGATAATTTCTAAAAGCTAAAATACATAAACACACTTTATGTATTTTAGCTTTTAGAAATTATTATGTATTTTAGGCTGTTCACAATCATTTAGCGAAACTTCTGTGCAGTCTCAACATATTGACTTAAATCTCATCGGCTCACTTCCATCTTCAGATGGATTCAGGTACTGTCTAACAGCTAAAGCTATTGATTTGTTTACTAGATGGGCAGAAGCTATCCCCATCATCGATATTCAAGCTACAACAGTGGCGGAGGTATTTTACGCAAACTGGATTTCTCGCTTTAGTGTTCTAATTACTATTACAACCGATCAAGAAGGTCAGTACGAATCTTGCTTATTTAAGGCTCCAACAAACCTCCCAGGCGCACAACGAAAACGCACAACAGCTTATCATCCTCAAAGGAATGGCTTAATTGAGAAATTTCACTGTTCTTCAAAATCTGCATTAATGTGTCACGAAACTCAAACTGAGCAGAAATTTTACCAATTGTGCTACATGGGCTGAAAGCATCTCTCAAAGAAAACTTCGATTGCACTCCCGCTGAACATGTGTACGGAACTACAATTAAACTTCCAGATGGGGTGATTTCCCTTTAAGTAGATAGCCCTAGTGTGCTTTGCCATTAATCTGCTAACCCAAATCTGATCCTGTTGAATATATCGAATAATTTCGAAGCTGTATGCAGCAGCCTAAACCAAAACCAACTGAATTACATCCAACAAAAACAGTGTTTATTCATAAAAATTTAAAAACATGTTCACATAAGTTTGTGACGTGATGCCGTACAACGGTCATTATAGGTACCTTACGACGGTCAAAGCATTCAAACTCAGTGCACAAAATTTACAAATTATCCATTCACAGAAAAATCGTTTAATTTTTCAACTGGCTGTTTGAAACCATCATCTATATCTAATACGGACATGGATACTTACTCTCCTAATACTTGACAACCTAGATCTGCAAATCACGCCAAACCAAATATTCGACAAACTCGTTCTGGCAGGCATGTGCACTTCCATGATTTTTTACTTATCGTCACGATGATATTAGAGGGTAATACTGGATAATAAAAAATCCATGAGTGTGGTCCCACACAAGTCTCAGTCTTCGAGCTGTTATAAGTTGTAAGACGACATGTTCTGACATTGCAGGAGTAATAATTTGTCCAGTAATTCTTCCGCTTTACATTACAAGAGTCATAACTTAAAGAAGAGTCAAGAGATTTTAGCTATCTGCATTGTGTCTGTCATCAAAGCATTTCGATTTCAAGGAGGCAGACGAACCAATGTTCCTAGTGCTTTTCTGATATCATTTCAACTATAAGGACACAGTATGTAAAATACAACCGAAAAATTAAGAAGGCATGAATAATTCAATTTGAAGATTCTTTCAGACAGAGCGACAAGTCAGAATGCTCTTAAACTCTCAACTAGAGAGAGCAAGATCCTCACGTAATGAGGACAATAACCTTGCTTAAAATAATTATCTCTATGCTTTCAATGTCATTATGTATTATTAATATAGCTTTTCATAGATTTACAGTAAATGTATGTTAGTTCTTTTATGCAGTAAGTAATATGCAAACTAAACAAATCGCGAACTAGTCAGTTATCAGTCCTTACGTGGAGTCGCCCCATCAGTGCAGCGTATGAACTGAATCTCAAGAACAATGTACTGAATCTCAAGCACAAAGTAAAAATGTGTTAAATCTGCATGACGGCTAAAATTTTATTGCAACTATGTATTTACGCATTTACACGCCATATAACAATCTACATCATTACGCATATACACACACATATATATATCAAGGTAAAACAGTGAACATATTTTGAAACACTCATTAAGGAACCACAGTGGAATACATGTTTAAAACACATTTAAAAAAAGTTAATATAAATTTAAAACTGTATAAACCAAAAAGCAATTTTAACCACACTCACACATAAAATTTTAATTATGTAACACACACGCATGTATATATGCCTGACTAGTCAAATAAAGTTATCTTCATTTTTAAATAAGTTTTTAAAAGTTAAAAAGTTTAATTAAAAATTTTAATTCTTTATACATTTTTATTAAAGAACGAACATCGTGTGACATAAATAAAAAAAATTTTCATACTGCAAGTTCCAATAGCATATGATTAAGGATTTTATTATTAGCAATATTTTAGTTCATTATATTGTAGCGATTGTAGTCAATATTAATACAATGAAAACATTATGAATGATTTTTGAATAATTCAGGGTGAAGAGATAAAATTTCGCAAAAACATAAATTTCTGTCTTCCTTATACGATTTTCGCAAAAATTCATTTCGCAAAAACATAAATTTCTGTCTTCCTTATACGAAAAATTATCGCAGAACACCCAAAGACAACTAAAACAATTATGGAATGATCGTGACTTTCACTAAGTGCATTAAATGAGTATTTAGGGAATGGCTTAAGGTAAAGTAAGTTTGTGAAACTAATGGAAACAACTTACCTATCGGTGAGGCAACCGAAGAGAAGCTGGCCGAGGATGGACCCAACCCAATAGAAAGTATGAACAACATATACCCTCCAGGCATTCTCGCAAACCCAATCGTTCTGAAAATAAACCATTAAGTATAATTCCATTTCTTTTTCAAAAGAAGAAATAAGTAATAATAAATAGAGAGAGAGAGAGAAGAAACACAGCAAATAGAATATCTAGTTATTAGGCCGCGGTAATCAGATACTGAATCTGTAATTTCGCGTACACTGGGTGGAGTATTTTCTACGCTTTCTTTATTTCATTTTTCAGAACACAAACTGGCCTAAATTACCAACGATTCATAAAATTTTAAGAAAACTGCTACATTCTCAAAGTTGTTTTGTAAAGCATATCTCTCAGTATTGCCGCATTACAAAAGAGCTAAGCCCAACTTCATTGGTTATCGTGATTCTCTTCATATAGTTTTTATCACCTTAATATCAGCCTTTGTAAGTAATGTTACTTAAAATATTAAAGTAACATTATTTAATTAATTTTAATACATACATATGTTACGGTGAAACACCGAAATCTGGAGAATGTCGACTTTCACAGGTGAATGTCAACATTCACATAGTCTCTTGGTGTATGTCCGAAATATTTTCCAAATACTCTTAGTTCTGACTTACACCGGTCAATGTCGACATTCACCATGTACTAATGGTGAATGTTGAACATATAACAATATTATATTTTCTTCTCCGTAATTCAGTCGCGAATAAACGCACTTCAGACTTGAAATAAGAACTTGAAATAAGAACTTAAAAACATGAGAACCTAAAACACACAATACATTCAAAATGAGAAAGGAAAATAATAGAAGTTAAAAACTTACTTAATTATACAATACGTTCTAAATGAGAAAATAAAATAACAGTAATAAAAAACTTACTAATTTATGTGATTCAAATCTTATTTATTGCAACAACTTAATCTATTATGGCACTTTATGACCACTCTTTTCGACTTTCACCAGAACATATCTGTGATTGTCGACATACACCGGTGAGGGTCCGAATATACAAGAATGTAGTGAAATATTCGGTCTTTCACCGACGTATTTGGTGAATGTTGATATTCTCCGGTGAAAGTCGACATTCTCTAATTTCGGTCTTTCACGGTAACATATGTTATAATGTCACAAAAATTTTTGTTTACAGTTTTTATTGAGAGATTTAGAGATCTGACTAGTTTTAAATTTCATTTCTTTCTGGTTTTCGTTCTATAGTTCTTACTATTTTGTCTGAATATATATAATTACAAAATAATTCTTTCGAAAACAAAATATAAACACGCCTAGTATTTTTGCGTATTAAGCTGCAGAAAAATTTTATCATTAAAGACATAAAGTAAGAAATTTAGAGCTAATTCTTCGCAAAGATCAAAAATTGAAATTCATAATTAATAAATTTCAAATAATCTTATAAATGCAACAAAGAATTTTAAAAATGTTAAAACTAAAACTATTTCAAACAAAAAAAAACTTTAAAAAAATAAGGAAACTTAAAGAAAAGTGAACAAAAACAGAAGAGGAAATCTATCAACTTCAATGCTACTTCGCCGGGGGGGAGGAGGATAGAAATCAATTGAAATCTCTCTTCTACAAAAATCCTTGCTTTTCTGTATCCAGAAATAGCCGATGAATCCTTTCAATGTATTTTAATTATAATAGTTCACCCGAAAATTTTGGCTCTTGCCCAAAGTAAGGAAAAAACAAAGTAAATTCTAATTAGAATAACCTTAAATAAAGAAAATACTATTTTATTAAAATAATTATAAGATTATTTGAAATTTATTAATTATAAATTTCAATTTTTGGTCTTGTGAAAAATTAGTTCTAAATTTCTTTCTTTATATATATGTTATATATGTATGTGTATGTAAGATATAAAAATAAGATAGAAATTTATTAGGAAAATAAGCTTAATTGGAACAAATTGACAATAGACCATCAAATTCCTAATTTTCAATTAAAGCACAACCTCCTTCAAGGCATCTATATTTTCGATGAAGTTATCGCATTCCTGTAAACTTTTGCCCAATCACTTCTCATGATTAAAAAAAAGCATATCGAGTTTATAAATAGTGCTACCTACTTCCTAAGTCGCTCTTTTGCTGCTTGGTCTGCCTAGAAAAGGTACATCTTTTGGCTGTTTCTTTTTCTACTATCAAAAATGTAAACTGGGTGTATAGAATAAATTTTTGCTGAATTGGTACAACACTAGAGGTGCAAAACGCACATATATATAGGGGTGCGTTTAGCACCCCTAGTGTTGTACCAATTCAGCAAAAATGTATTTCTGTCCCAAATAAAAATGATGTTTTAACCATCAAGATATACTCAAGAGTTTTCTCGGCCAAGTCTAAAAAGTTATTGTATTCAAAATTGGACGTACCAAGGAAGTTGCTACATACATATATGTTAGATTCACATAAACTATATTACTCTACAATATAAATTTTGGATTTCTGTTGTCTTAAATAATAACTGACATGACTATCAAATACAAATTTTCATAATAATATTACGTAATATTTCACATTAAATTTTAGACAAAAATCGGAATTGATGTAAGCTTTAAATGCATTAAAAGTTTTCTAAATCATAGTACTTTAAAATTTGTATAAATTACATAGTTTCAAACTGTATTCAAAATTAATATACATATTCAGTTAATGAATATATATTATCATATCCCAGGATAAAACACTGCGCTGATTAATTGCATTTAATTCTGTACCAAAGGCAGTAATAACAGTAGCAGCTATTATAAAAAACGTAGTGCAGAACTACGTCTAACGTAACATTTTTCAATCAATTCTGAATGCGTTTATCAGGAAAGCAGAGAAATAACATATTTGGGTAATTTTTATAAAGTAAAGCTATGTCTTTGAAATCTGTTTCAGTACATTTTAGGTCCTCAATATAAATCAAATATAAACTGACGTTTGCTATTAGTAGTATTAAAAGTACTTTCTAATAATAATATTGCGTATATAATGAAGTATACGGTTTTTCCCTACAGTTTTCTAGTATTTAAGACCACTGAATGCTAGGAAATCGACCTGAGTTCGACCAAACGCAAACTGCCATCTACATGATTGGTTTTCGTCGCTTTCCCTATGTTCAACATGAATACGAGTCAGTTTCCCTTAGAAAGTTCTACAAGAAGGTATCTCTTCCTTTAAACAGGTAGCCCTTGTATGCGTTTCCATATTCAAATAATCTAAACTAATCTATGTTCCATGTTTCCTTTTATGTGTACCGTGTTTCACACATGCTTATAAAGAAAAAACGAATGGAATAATTGGTAATAGCACAATTATTTTGGATATGGTATAATCTTCTTCTTCCCGAATGGCAGTTATGAGATCAAACTAATATTTCAGGGAAAAAGTTTTTAATGGGGTGGTACAAGCTATTGGAGCTAGAAAGAGATGTCCTGTAAGACGAATTTATTTTGATCAAACAGCTATGAATAATTTTTTTTTTGCATTTGCCGAAGACAATTACCCATCGACTTATTGACTGGCTGAAGGCAACTTCAAGGTAAAGTAAGAAAGTTGATTGGCTTCGTTGATTGGCTTACAGGTAATATGTGCAATAAAATAAATGTGAATTACCAACTTCCCTGCCGAGAAATAAAGTCTAATAAAGACACATGATCGCAATGAACTGTAATCTACTCATATCTCTTTTCAGCCTGAGTGGTAAGGCATATCATTAGCACTGCTATCGCGACGGGAATCTGAATTTACCACTCCTTGAAATGCAAAAGTTTCTCATGGGTTTACCCGTTTTCAGGTCTATTAACTAACAATTTTCAGTTCAAACCCGTTTATTTTGTATTTCCTCCCTTCGGTTAGAATTCAGACAGAAAGCATCAAAATTATTGTCTTAATTATTTCTTGCATGAATTTTTACAAATTTACCTTTTTTTTTTTTTTTTTTTTTTTTTTTTTTAATTTTATCCTGATAACTGTAAAATGAACCTGTAATACGTTTTTTTCAATTACCATTTAAAATGAGAAATTAAAACCTTTCGAATTCCATTTAATGTTTTTTTTTTTTAAGTACATATGTATGCTAATACAGAAGTGTTTAATAATGATTCACACATAGATATTATCCATTTTTAGTGCATTAGAATGAAAATTCTTCACACATTCTTCAGTAGTTACTTTCATAGTAGCTTTCCTTTCGCGCTAAATTCCCAACTAAATCTTAAGGCATTTTTTTTAAATTTAAATTCCAAAAACGAAATAATGAAACAATCATTGTTAGAAACACATAAAATCGATTTCAGTATCATCTAAATTCAAACCCCGTGTGGTGTACAGGAAGATTTTGTGTGCTAAAAAATTATCACTTAAAGGAATGATGTACCCAGCTTAATCAAACTGGAGTTTAGCATAAAAGAATGTAAGAATAAACAACGCACGTATGCGTACAAAATACGTTACACTTCGAGTGTTATCTACCCAGTTTTAGAAAGGAATATGTATAAAACTATGAAATATATCTAGAAATTTTTACTTTGGACTTAATTTACTACTAAATTCTCTATTATGATTCATCAATACACTTTGAAAAATTAAATTACTAAACTTTGTTTTAAAGAATAGCATAAAAGCTCTGAAAGCACTTGTCTCATATTAGCACTTTTCTTCCTATAAATAAGCTAGAGAACTCGCAGTCTACTTGCCACCTTATTTACCACTCAAAATTCTAACTTGATATTTGCTAGATATACGGACGAATGATCATAAAACATCTTTAAATTAAAATTGACATCCGTCACAAATTCTGATATAGTTAATCAGGAATGACAATTCAAATTCTTACACTTTTAGGATTTTGAATAGAGATTACTTTGAATTCGATTTAAAACGACCTTTCCTTTTCCTTTCCTCTTTAGAAATTGTCTTCATTCAAAGCTGAAAGTGGGGGAAAACGGCGTTGCATTCCTTTAATTGCGAAGATGATAGTAAGGGAAAAAGTTTCCTGAACAGGAGGAGAAAAAGCATTTTTACTCTAAAGGAAGAGCAAGAAAGGTCAGTGATACTCATAACG